ACGGCACCAGGTATTCCCAGGCGCTCACCCAGCCAAGTAGTAACACTTAGGCTCGACCAACCAATCATTGAGCTTTGTTGAGCAGCCTGCCCCTCGTCTGATTGGTCTGTTGAGCAGTCCTCGTCCTCAACAGGGCTCAACGATTGGCTTAGAGTAAAACAATCTCTAATTAACAAAGATCGTGAAGAAGAAGGCAAGATGGCGGTGCCTCATGTTTCTCCGCTTCGAAATCTCTGTCGAATCTCTCTCATTCGATGCTGATGCCATTTAGGCCATAGTGCATATTTTCAATTCCGGGTGCAGTAAGGATTTATTCAAGGTAAGATATGACCACATATTTGTTGCCGTTTTGAAAATACCGGCAGCTGTACTTTTTGTGTTTACTTAGTATTGATCCGCAAAACTGAATTAGTATGGCGTTTTGCATGTACCGGCACTTGGCCAGTGTATACATTTCGCAACATGTACTGTTTGGTATTTAAACTTTAATTCATTCAAATAAAGCTCATAGTGACCTGTTAATACCTTTATCTTTAATCGCCGGGGTGGGGGGGGGGGGGGTAGTATGCCACAGTGTTCTGTTTAAAAACTTTATTAAAATATTTTCCCGATGACTTGTGCTTATATATGTGTATATATACATATATATGCAACTAATTAACATTACAGCAGTATTTTGGGTATTTAGTAGACTTTTTTTTATGTTTTCAGTAAATATGGAACCTAGCAGTAAAACACAGTTCCAGTGCGGTGTATGCCTTAAGTATTTTAGATTCAAAGCTAATCTAAATAGACACATGCAGCTAATACACAATGAGGAGAGGGCTAAAGCTTACAGTTGTCCACACTGTTCCAAGACATTTAATCAGAAGGGGCACCTCGAGAGCCACGCACGGCAGCACCTCTACCCCTCCATTCGTATGTACAAGCCAGGAGAAGCTATGCTACAATCCACCCCAGAAGCTAAAGCATTCCGCCCAGAGTCTGCTTTAGACCAGTTGTGGTTAGACCCAGCCAGTGCAGAAGCAAAAGCCCGCCAGCTAGGCAATGACCAGTGGCGGCTTATGCTAGTCATGACATTTGGGAAATTCCAGGGCAAGTCTTACAAGTGGCTCCTTGAAAATGATGTTGGATGGGTGGTCTGGCTGTTGGCTGAATACTGTCTGAAGGGAGAGTCCAATATGCAGATCAAATGGCAGAAGCAGCAGCTGCTGGACTTGGTGAAAGAATTTCCTGCTGTGAACATTCACCTGGAGAGAAAGTTACAGGTATCATATGTTTTTTATGCTTTTTTCCACTTATTTCAATGTAAATATACCCCTGTTCCCATTTATGACTAATGCTGCTATAAAAGTCTTTTCCTTACAAATGATGTCTTTATTTATTGTTTTAATCTCAGATTATTCATGTTGTTAGTGCCTATACTTAGCACACAGTAAATTTAATTACAGAAAGCTAAAGATATTGAGGGAGCAGAAAGATCACTGATGTTGGCAAAAGAGATGGAGGAAGATCCTGGATATGTTGAGGATTCCATTCTGTTGACACAAGCAGGTAAAATGATTAACCTTTGCAGATGTATAAGGCTGTCTTCACATAACACACAGAGTTAAATAATGTAAGAATGCAACTTGAAATTGTAACATTATCTTTACAGTTTGACTTTATTATACCCTGACTGTAATGCATAATACACCAGGTATCCCATATCCAGCACATATCCCATTAGACAGGGACTCGATGTTATATATTTGTTACTTTTAGAGGAAGCATTACAGCAGAGCCAGGTATCTACCCACCTGACCTCTGTAAAGGAGCTGGAGATCACTGCGGAGTTCACCCCTGATCCAGAGGCCCCTGCATTGGAAGGGTGGCAGAGGTCGTGGGAGGGAAGCCCAGACCCTAACATCAAGTGGCTCAAGGAAAATGATGAGTATGGACTTTTTACTGCACCAATACCATACAGAAGTGCCAGTGGGGAAGTTGTGTATAAGAGGGTTCTTAAGAAAAAGATCAACTTTTACCCACCACCAATGCCAATTTCTATTAAGGCATCACTGCCCTCAATGTATGCCTTCTTCACATCGCCTGTGATATTCTGGAGACCAGTAGGGGTCATGGAGGCCAAGATACCATGCCCAAATAAGGACTGTCCTGCTCCACCTGGAAGTTTCTTGTCCAAGCATGGCTTTGGGTCAACTGCCAGGCAGGTGTGTGGAATGCGGAGTTTTTATACCCTTTTGACGGAAAGGCTGGTTTGCTACCCATGCAAAAATGCACGTCAGCAGAGGGGAGAAAATGAGGAAACCCAGTATTCTTTTCACAGTTACAGCCCTCGGATTATGATGAAATTGTCACCGGCAGTCCGCAGTCTCTTTCCAGCTGTCATCTGTGGAAAAAGGGCTATAGATAAGGACATAGCTGTGATTTTGTCTGACAGGCTGAATGCTGTGTCAATGACCAAGGTGCACAGACTGGTACAGCGCCAACATGACCAGTGGTACATGGAGAGAAGAGGGATGTACCAGACTCTGCTGTATCAAGGTCATATGGACAGAAGCAGCATCCTGTCGTACACTAAGAAAGCCGGGAGCTACATACCACCAATGGCTCAGACTCCACTTCCTTCATCTCGTGTCCTGCGACGTGCCCACTTGGTGATGGAAATGGAAAAAATTCCAGAATACAGGGCCTCCATACTCAGCACCACAGGAGAAATCCTTTGTATTGATGGCACTAAACAGGTTAGTGTGGTTTTAAGAGAAAAAGTTTCCTTTTTTTTATTCCAGAAAATTTATTTCAGTGAAATTTATACTCATTTACTTAACATGTCTCTTGTTTTTAACCTCCTAGATACTCAAGAAAGTGTATGGTGATGGACGTGGATCACTGCAGTATGTGACCAGCATATTAAATGAATGGGGCCAGTTCCTCACCACAGTTGTTGTAGCCTCCGAGTCCGAGGAGTGTTACAGGAGGATGGCTCGAGGACTAATTGAGCGTTTTAAGCGTGCTGATGCTCCAGCCCCACGAGTTCTGTACACAGACAATAATTGTTGCAGGTATGTTACTAGTTAAGCATCATTGTTCGTGTTTATTTCAATGCAAATATCATTAATATGATAGGAATGGAAGACCATTTATTTAGAAAAAATGTCCTTTATCCCATTAATTTTTAAGTGGTTTTAATCCATTTAGAAAAATTATTCTATGGTAAGTTTTTTTTAATGAGAATGATTTGTTTTATTTATTTATATATTTTGTCTTATTTGAATATTAGGGATGGTGGAGAATCCTTTTATGAGACATTGTTCTCAGACTGGGTTGAGGAGGGCATGGTTGTCAGACTGGATATCCGACACTGGCTCCACAGATGGGACAGTGTCGTGATAAAGCAGAGTCATGCGAAGTATGGTGTGTTCATGAGCGCCCTTGCAGGAGCAGTATTGGCATTCAACAAGGCTGACCTGCTACATTTGGTCAAGGCAGTGCGGGCAGGCAATGAGCAGATGTACTCAAAATACTCTGACACTGAGATGATTGCCTTTGTCAAGCCTCACCAGTTCAAGTCTTATGTACGGCGAGTGACACGTGGTGTAGAGGTATGTTTCACTTCAGCCTTTTTCATGACATACAAACCAATAATTTACATAACATTTTTCTTCAAAATAAGCATACCTTTCATGAAAATTAAAACTTATTTGCTGAACAAAAAAATTATATAAAAATGTTATTCCACTTGCAGGCAACAGTGTGTGCAGTAGAAGCCATCATAGACGAGTTTAAAGGACCAGCTGGACTCGACGTAGATGGCATACCCCTTTTCAAGTCTCATGAAGCCGTGGATATCCACTGGGCAAGATCTAGTCAGCACATTAACTGTTTGCAGGTACGTCTTACTTTATCTAGTCTTTTTACAACTTTATAGTTTCCTTTTGCAGAATGCGTTCATTACCCAATAGAAGGGGAAAACAAATTCCATTTAACTTATTCTTTATTATCACAATTTGTATATTCTAGGATCCTCCTGGCATACCGCTGTATGTAACCACTAAGACGGTGTCAATCAATGGTGTAGATGTGCAGAAGTACCGTTGTCGTAGAGGAAGTAATGCCCTTGAAGGTCTACATTCCCACCTTGTGAATGCTATCCCCTCCAAAAGGTGTGGCATCATGCCATTTCAGGTAAAAAATATATTTATTTTTTAAATTATTGATTGATTGATTGATTTTTTTGTAATTGTCAGTGAATACTTACCTGTATTTTAAAGGTTTTTTTTTCTGATAAATATTAAGAATCCATAATTATAAAATCAAGTTCACCGAATATCACGAAATTGTTGATCCTTGAATCAATTTTTAAAAATTTTTTTCACCAGGTGTACCTGATCAGTTTTGCTGCCCAGTGGAACCACAGGATGGAGTCCTTGCGTGTCGCAGGTGGTCAGGGGCGGAAGTCATCGTGCACTGATCCCAGGCAAGTGCAGCTCTTAAACCAACAGTCAGAGGTTTTGTTTGGCAGGGAACACCTCTTTGAACCTAACTTCACTGCACCAATGCCATTCCCAGAGGTCTACAATAATGAGGAAGAAGAAGAGTTGCTTGGTATCGAGTATGCGTATGCTCAGTCCACTGACTTCAAGTCTGCATCATACTATGTGGAGAAGGGTAAGATTTTCACATGAATTGTAATGATTTAATTAGTCTATAGAATGAATTGTTAATGGTTGCAGCAAATTAATTTTCATTGTTCAATGTAAATCATAATAAGCAATGAACTTTAAAAAAGAAAATCTTTGTACTGTAATATTCTTTTTTTTTTTTTTCACTTTTTTACAGAACAAATTTCTTGTCTTTAGTTTGTAATTTATTGTCTTAATCTGTCTTAGTATATCTTGTATTTTTTCTTTACAGTTGAGGAAGAGCAGTCAAGGGAGGATGGTGATGAGGAAGGAGCTCAGACAGATGATGAGGAAGATGAGGGCATCGTAGAAGATGAGGAGGAGCAATCCAATGATCCTTTGGATGAAGTAAACGTCAAATACTCTATTTTCACCACCTCAGAGCAAGTCACAGAGCTGTCAAACCCAGTGCTGGAAGATGTGCTCATGGGTCCCAGCCATTTACACCTGCCTGGTTATGAAGAGGTGGAACACCTGGCCTTGCAGCTAGTGGAATTGGCTGCTGAAGATGGGAAGCACCTTGTGCCACCGACACTTAGAAACAAGATCATAACCGCTGCTTCAAACCTACAGGATCATGATAAGTCGACAACCAATTTTGTCAAGAAATACGAATCTAAGTGGGGTTACACCCTCTTTGGTCGATGCCTTGGTCCAGATTCTCCACAGTCCAGTGCAGCTCAAAAAACAAAATTTGGCTGGATGAGATACGCACAAGCGGCACAAATCACAGAGGAGTCCAGGCTTTTGTACTTGCTCATAAAAATCCTGAAAAACAAGCCACCAACGTGTTACACCAGTTCTCCGTCCAGATTGTCTTCACTCATCAAGGCACACTACAAACGCATAGTAGATCGAGTGAGGGACGACCCCATGCTGTGCAGTCTGAACTTGCCTCTACCGAATATAAATGCTAAATCCATCAGTGCATTTCTGACCAAAGAGGAGAAGAAAGCAAACTATGTCGCCACTTCCTTGCCGAAGGTCAAGACCCATCAGCGAGTGTTATCTGAAGCAGCAATTCCAGAGGCTGACACCTTGCCATCGGTGCTCTTACCACCTAGACGGCCACAGGTGCAGTACCCTGTAGTACCATTCATCAAAGGCATCAGGCCTGGGCAAAAGAGGAAGTTAGATTTTAATGACATTTCTCCGCAGACTGAGGGTGATGTTGCTTCTGCATCAAGCAAAGTTAAGAAGGAAGACATTAAGCCAAAACCTGTAAATGCCCCTGTTCTTATAGTGCTCCCCTCTCAGCCAAAGGGCCCGTCTGTGATTTGTCAGCCTGGAGGTCCTCCCGTAATCAAGGCACCACTACCACCACTGCCAGCAAAAATTACCATGCCAAACAAATCATCGAAACCATGTGCACTGTGTAAAGTACCCAAATGTGGTGGAAAAAGGAGGAGATACACACCATCAAAGGAAAAAACAAGCAAAAGCAAACAAAAAATTTTTACTTTTTGTCCGACAACAAAAATGTCAACGACAGCAGGATTTGAAAAGGAAGTTTTTAAAGATTATGAGGATTTTAAGTCTTTTGTAGACCAAAGATTGGCACAGCTCTAGTGCCCAAATTATAATGTTACATGAAGATAGAACTAAGACTTTTTTGTGCCCAATGCATGCCATGAGTCTGTGAAATCTCCAAATACTGCTAATGACTTTTCTTTTTTTTTTTTAACTGGACTTCACTCGCAGTGATTTGTATTTTTGTATGCAAGGTGCCAAAGAAACTGTTAATATGTATTATTTTTTATATTTCAGTCAGTAGAGTGCTCAAACCATGTATGTAAGGAAAATGAATTTCTTTACATTGAAATCAGTATTTTGTATGACTAGTTGCATTCAAGAGATTGTGTGAAAAGCATTTTGTATGCAGCAGTTTGTATTTAATTCCATGCATCAGAGGCCAAAGAAACTGTATATATGTATTATTTTTTATATTTCTGTAGGTAGATTTTCCTCAAACCATGTATTTTATGAAACATGAACCTCTTTACATTGTCAGTATTTTGTATTACAAGTTGTATTACAAGCAATCAATTCCCACAAGATTTTTTTCTTTGTTTTACCAAAGGTGAAATGATTGTGTGAAAAACATTTTGTATGCAGTGGTTTGTACTGTTTTCTATGCAACAGAGGCCAAAGAAACTGTGTATTATTCTTATATTCCAGTCAGCAGACTTGGATCAAACATATATTTTTGTAAAATGTGATTTTCTTTGCATTATCATTGAGAAAATCACAGTCGGTCAGTTTTTTTGACTGTTTTTATTTTCTATTTCCATGTAGAATGTTGAGCAGATTGTGGGAAATGCATATTACATACTGTCATTTAAATATTTTCAGTTGTATTAGTTGTGCAAAATGTATATTCAGTGATTTTTCTATGCAACTGGTACCAAAGAAACCAAATATGTTCTGTCCAATGCAGTAATGTTGCACATGCTTGTTGTTCATATTTGTGCATTTTCAATACTCATGTTGTTTCAGTAACTTTTTGTTCATTTTTTCCATAATAAAGATGTGTTGAAGAAGACATTTCAGTTGTCATACTTGAGTCATTTAATTAAACAGGAAATAAATGAAATTACCGCAGTAAGAAACAAAGAAGTACAATTTAATTTTACTCTCTTTTTAAAATTTTCATTTCAAATTAAAATCGAAGAAGAGTGTGTTATATAAAATACCTAAAGAGGAAACTCTAAAAACTGTCGAAAAAGAAAGAAAAATAATTTTATATAATCATGAAAAATGCCTTTTATTGTTACAATGAGTAAACATCAAAAAGAAGGATATTATGATATTCTGCTTATAAATTTTGACAAAACCAGCATGGCTCGTCTTGTACGATCAAAGGGTTTATCCCTTCAGCGCCACCATCGTGATTCCCAGGAACTATGATTACTACCCAGGGGGGTCATGGGCCATTCCCAGGCGGTCACCCATCCAAGTACTAACCTGGCCCT